AGAACTCTACAGGAGAAAATCAGAATATAGAAAATCTTTTTAGGCACATATGAAACACTTGTAAATTGATCACTTTCTCTAGAACATAAAGCAAATCTCAGCAAATACTAAATAACCAGTATTGTATAAACCATCTTATCAATACTAAGAGCAATTAATAGAAAATAATAACAAAATATTAAGCTAAAATATATCCATGTACCCATGTCTTGGTTTCTAAATACGATCTCCTACTAAAAGGAACCAGAGCTCCAGAAAGAAATATTTAGTGAGGCAGAAAACACAAGACAAGCCTGAAAGTAAGGAAGTAAAGAAATGCTGAAATCAAAGTATGTATTATATGATGGGAATCCATCAAAGGGACAGAGAATGCAGCTTGAATGGGTTGCCACTGGCTAAATCTGGGACATTAAAATAATGATAGCAATAGGATGTCCATGAAATAAAATAAAAATCTACACGTCCAAACTAATAAAAATAAACAAATAGAGAAAAAAGTTCTTCCTTGAAGTAGGATACAAACTTAAAGTGGATTAACTTAGAGTGGATTAATCTAGCAAACAGCATCTTAATCAAGTAATCAAGTTTAATATTACTTCTAAGGGGTCAGACCAACATCATGTGCCACTGATATGACCTAAGAACAATACAACATTATCTTATATTCCAGCCAAAATGCATAATCTAAGTGTAATAATGAGGAAAAGACACACAAACTTAAACTGAGATGATCTACAAAATAAATGTCCTGTATTTTTTTTAACTGTCAATATCATACAAGATAAAGGAAGGCTAAACTGTTTCAGATGAAAAACTGAAAAGGCATGGCAAATAAATAGAAGGCATTATCCTGTAGTGAAACTTTAGCCAAGAAAAGAAAACAACTGTAAAAGACATTATTGGGACAAGAGTTGAAATTGCAATTTCACCCAGATAATATTAGAACACCAATTTCAAACTAAAATACACAGTTACAGTAATCAAAAGAGTATGGTCCTGGCATTAAAAACAGACACATAAACCAATGGAACAGAACTGAGAGCCCTGAATCAAACCACCACATACACAGTCAAGAGCATATATTTGACAAGGGTACCAAAAGTACGCAATGGAGAAAAGATACTCTATTCAATAAATGATACCAGGAAAACTGTATATTCACATGATAAAGAATAAAACTGGAGCCCTATCTTACATCACTTGCAAAAATTAATTCAAAAGGTATTAAAGACAGAAAGGTAAGCCCTAAAATCATAAAACTCCTAGAAGAAAACATAGGAAAACAGTTTCTTGATATTGGTCTTTGCAATGTTTTATGGATATGACACTCAAAACACAAGCAACAAAGTAAAAAATAAACACGTAGGATTTCATCAAAATTAAACTAAACTGTTTCTTCATGGCAAAAGAATGGATCAACAAAATGAAAAGCTACCTATGGAACTAGAGAAAATATCTGCAAACCATACATTTGATAAGAAATTAATATCCAAAATATATAAGGAATTCATACAACCCAATAGGAGAAAAACAAATAATCCAATTTAAAAAGGTACAAAGGACCTGAGCAGACAGTTCTCTAAAGAAGATATTCAAATGGCTAACAGGTACATGAAAAGGTGCTCAACATCACTAATCATCAGGGAAATGGAAATCAAAAGTACAGTGAGATATCTCACACTTGTTAGATGGCTATTATGGAAAAGACATGAGATAACAAATGCTGGCAAGGATATGGAGAAAAGGGAACCCTTGTACACTGTGGGGGGGAATGCAAATTGGTACACCTACTATGGAAAACAGTATAGAGGAGGTACCTCAAAGAATTACAAATAGGACTACCATATGATTCAGCAATCACACTTCTGGGAATACATCTGAAGGAAATGAAACCATTATTTTGAAGAGATACCTGCACCTCTATGTTCACTGAATCATTATTTACAATAACCAAGACATGGAAACAACCTAAGTGTCCATCAACAGATAAATGGACAAATAAAATGTGTTTTTTGTGTGTGCACACACACCATATACATACAAATACATGCATACATACATACATAAAATGGAATATTATTCAGCCATAAAAAGGAAAATTTTGTAATTTCTGACATTCCAAAGGATAAATCTTGAAGGTATATGTCAAGTAAAATAAATCAGACAGAGAAAGACAAATACTGTATGATCTCACTTACACATGCAGTCTAAAAAACTCTCTGCTCATAAAAACAGAGAACAGATTGGTAGTTTCCAGTGGACAGAGGAAGAGGGAAATGGATGAAAGTAGTCAAAGACTATAAACTTTCAGTTATAACATAAGTTCTAGGGATCTAATGTACATTTATCCCAAGATTTATTATTTATATGTTAGTTAATATTTGTATTTATTTATATTTATACTATGTATTTATATTTATACTATATTATACTATAGTAAATACTATAGTATAATATGTATTATATAACTAGTTATAATATACATAGTTATATAACTACAATTAGAGTATACTTACTACTCTGTTAACTATACTATAGCATGTTATATATATATATACATATGCCTACTATAGTATAGTGACTATAGTTAACAATACTGTATTGTATACTTAAAAGCTCCTAAGAGAGTAAATGTTATAAGTTTTCACCATACACAAACTAAGTGGTCACTATGTTTGATAGCTGAAAAATTATCTAATCTTATTGTGCTGGTCATTTTATATAGCAAATTATCTCACTGTATACCTTAAATGTAACAATGTTATATGTCAATTATATTTCAATTAAGCTGGGAAAAAAGAACTATAATACAGCTTACATTGTCCATTGAAGTATGTTTTCCCAAACTCATCCCTTTTTCAGTATGAGTGGATAGTCTTGACAATAAAGGTTTACAAAACATAAAAAAAAATTGCAGCAATGTCCAATTTCTATTTTCACTCATGTACTGAGGTTATGTATGGGAAAGGCATCTTTATAAGACAATACACACTGAAGTATTTACAGGTCTTTACAGGAGCACAATGTCTGCAAGTTACTCTCAAATAGTTGAGAGAGAGAAAGGGAGAAGTCAAGGAGAGGGGAAAGGGTGGGAGAGGAGAAGAAAACAGGGAAAAGAGGAGGGAAGGAGGAAAGAGAGGGAGAAACAGAAACAGAGAATGATAGAGCAAACATGGCAAAATGTTAATTGGTGAATCTGGGTAAAGGGCATATGGCAGTTCTTTGTAATATTCTCAGTTTTTCTTTAGTAAGTGAAGAATTAGAACAAAATTAAAGTCTTAAAAACTCAAGCATAGACTTAGAACAAAACTAAAAGTTTAAAAATACAAGTGTAGAAAAAAATTAAAAGTTTAAAAGAGACAAGTATAAATATCAGCAAAAGTCCTCATTTAATAGTATAATCACATTTTTCCTATGTATTTAATCAAACAAAAGTTTTATATTGCCAAAGTCTATTAGGATTAATTGCCAGTATATAATTTTACTTTTTGTTACCAGAAGGAAGAAAAATTGAACATTTTATGTTGTTCATCTTGATCTGGGCAATGGTTAAATGAGTGTGTAAACACATGCAAAAGTTCATCAAGCTGTACACTAAAATTTGTACATTTTATTATGTGTACTGCAATATAAACAACTAAAGATTTTAAAGCAGAAAAAAAGATGAAGTTTAAGTATGATGACACTAATGATTTCACAATATGATTTTTAAAAAGACACCCAATGTTTATAAATGAAAAAAACTTGAGTCAAAAAAGAAATAAGAGAAATTAGAAAATAATAATTGATTGATAATAAAATACTACATATAAAACCTGTGAAATTCTTCTAAACTGGTACACAGTGGAAAATTTATAGTCATAAATTCTTATTTTAGAAAAGAGGATTGAAAATCACTGTTAAAGGTCTAAATAAATAAGTTAGGAAAAGAGAAACCAAAAGAAAGTAAAGAAAAATAGTAAAGATAAAAGCAAAACCTCTTAAAATAGGAAACAAAATATACAATGGTGAGGCCTGAAGAGACTAAAAGCAGGAAATACATTAGAAAATTAATTATTATAATTTATCATACAGTCACACTGTCATATTAATGGAGTAAAAAACCTATACAATCATGGCAATAGATACAAAGCATTTGGAGAAAAAAACTATATACTCATTTATAATAAAAAGTCTCAGCAATCTAAGAATAGAAAGGAACTTCCTTAACATGAAAAAGAAAATCTAAAAATGGTGAAACATTTGTAGAATTCCCTTGTAAATTTAGGAGCAAGACAAGGATATCTTCTATCACTGCTACTATTTCTTGTACTGAAGATCTTAGCAATCACAATTAAACAAGCTAAAAAAAATACTGAGAAGTTAGAAACTCCATTATTCACAATATAATTAACAGGAAATCAAAGAGAATCTATATAATTGAAACAAATAGAATTCAGAAAGGCTGCAGCATATAAAATCAGCACGCAAAAATATCAATCATGCTCCCATTGACCAGAAATAATCAGAAAATGTGGGTCAAAAGATACATTTCATAGTAACAACAGAAACAATAAGGTAATTAGGAGTGAATATAACAAAACAGATTATAAATTACATTACTATTATTGTGGTTTTTATAATACATTTTAAATAATTTAATCACAGTTGGAACAATGTCAAATTTCTGAGAAATCACATACATTATTATTATATGGTGTCACATAATGTAGAAAATAGTTTCAATTTTATCATTTGATGCAAGCTTTCTGTTATTTCTGTATTTAGGAGTTGGACTCCTAAAATACTTCACTTGCTTGAAAACCTCAGTGGTTGTCACTGCTTATGGATTAAACCGCATATGCCTCAGCATAACATTTAAGGTCCTGCATCACTCTGTCTAACCTAGCCCTTCTCACAGATTCAAGCTTTCTGTTATTTCCTTTGCTAGTTATTTTTAGTATATCACAATCAACTCTTATCCTCCTCCATTCTTTAGAAGTTTTGGATAAAAAGTTTACCTTAAAAACCACAACTTCCCGGTGCAGGATATCAGAAAAAGCAGGATAGCATTATCAATGTTCTTCATTGTCTTCACTGGGTTAACTATTTTACGAATGCACCAAGGAAACAGAGTCATACCGCTATCCCTCAGTGTCTGAAAAATAATAAAATAAGGTAAAATCATTTCCTCTTTTACTATCCATCTCTTTTCCCGGGCCTCCTCAACTCCTTATGCTTCACCATGCCCCTATTTTCATTAAATATTCCTATAAAACAGTTATATAGATAATATTAGAAGGGGTCTCTTGCATAGCAATTTATACCATAGACTCTAGAAGCCCTTTAAACAGTGTCTGACACATAAATATGTTCAGCATTTGCTATTACAATTTTCAGGGAATTTAATCACCAGAGGAAATGATGTAGCTCTTGTACCTCTTCCCCTACACAATCTCTTTTGTTTTCTATTTGCTATGCATATGTGCTACCCCACTCCCCACCACTACCCCTTTGGACAGATAGGTAAAGTCGAGGCAATTCAGACTGTAAGAAATAACTAGGCAATGGTTTCAAGCAAAAATAGAGCTAATTATTTTTCTATGAACTACCACCAAACCCCGTTTGGAATCCCCTTAGTTTCCATCGCTAAGCTGGCATTCATTGACTTATTTATTCAAATATCTGTTTCACTCCTACTGTGTCTAGGCACTATGCCTTGGTCATTCATCGCCTATAGCTTCTGAAAGCACAATTGCAAGAATTCCGTAAAGGTTTATTGGATGAAGGAAGATGATGCCTTGTCTCCTTTGGCTTTCAAGGATCTGTGAAGTTTAGGTCAGATTTTTTTTATTATTCCCATTCTATGAACTAATCTAAATAGTTGTTTCTCAAACATTTTAGGAGTTGGACTCCTAAAATACATCACTTGCTTGAAAACCTCAGTAGTTGTCACTGCTTATGGATTAAACTGCATATGCCTCAGCATAACATTTAAGGTCCTGCATCACTCTGTCTAACCCAGCCCTTCTCACAGATTCAGAGTTACAGCCAAGCTTTTCCCAGAACAAGCCTGCCTTGGGGCCTTTGTTCTGGAAACACTAGGCCTGAAAAGCATTCCCTCCCTCTCCACAGGGCAGATGTCACTCACCCTTTACCGCCCACCCAGAGTTCCCCCTTCCCTCTTTTATGGGTCATGATCACTACTAGGCAGAATAGGTTAGTCCATCCTGGGTGCTCCCTGCATGTCTTGAGCAATTAAATATTATAGCACTTGGATTTGACTTACCATATTGTAACTTTTTCTTTTTTTTTTACTTATTAAATTCACAGAGAACACTCAAACACTTCTGAAGGCTCACCTTTCAATATCTTCTGTCAGCATAGTGCTAGGCATAGGAATCTGATCTTCAATACACTGCTGTTACTGATCTTGAACCAAGCATTTTGTAAACGGAGAAGTGTCAAATATACACAAAAGTAGTGAGAACACCTATTATTTGTGGCAACATGGATGGATTTAGAGGTTATTATGCTAGGTGAAATAAGCTAGGCAGAAAAAGACAAATACCATATGATTTCACTTACATGTGGAATCTAAAAACAAAACAAAATGAACAAAACACCAGTAGACTCAGACACTGAGAAGTGACTGGTGTTTACCATGGGGGAGTGGTTGGGGTGGATGGGTGAAACTGGTTAAGGGGATAAAGAGGCACAAAATTTAAATAATAATATAGATTGGTCACGGGTTGAAAGTATAGCACACAGAATATAGTGAATAGTTCTGTAACATCTCTGTATGTTGACAAATAGTAACTACACTAGTTGGGGGGAGCATTTAATAATGTAGGTAACTGTTGAATCACTGTGTTGTATATTTGAAACCAATACAATATTGTCTATCAACTTCAGTAAAAAAAAAAGTAGTGAGAACAATATACTGAACCCCCATGTATACATCACACAGCTTTAATAATGATGAGCTCATGAACATTTTGTCTGTATCCCCCACCTTTGCCCCAGTGAATTACTTCCAAACATGAAAATATCTATTTCTTAAAAAATAAAACCACAATTATTACAGCTAATGCATTTTTTAAATTACTTAATATCATTAAATACCCATAATTTCATCCTAGGATATTTTGTGAAAGAAGTATTTAATGCCTGCATATTCTTCAATTCCGAAATCACGGAGAGAACACAGAAAGAGGAAGGAAGTCTGGGAAATTGAATAATTAATTCTCAGAGAGCCTGTATGTCTCAAATGAGAAAAAAATAATCTGACCTGGTTTGGGGTGGAAGAAGTATATTCTACTACTTCTCCGGAGGAGGCGGGTGCGACTTCAGGCTGGGTGATGCAGGAGGAGGTGCAGAGGCGAGAGAGGTACTACCACCGTTGGGCGTTCCTTCCGGATAATCCCACCGGGGAGCAAGGAGGCAGCGCTTTTTTGGAGGCTTGGCTTCCCGCGTGTTTCCAGGTGGGAGCGTGGATCTCCCGGAGGTACAAGGATGGTCCCCCATAAGGATTACAGGACCTGGGCGTCAGATCTTTCTCCGGTGGGCACTGGCCAAGAGAACTGAGATGGCGGCGGGTTCCCTACAGGCACAGAGCTTCTTCCCGGTTTCGCTCTTACCGTATTTCCTGTATCCTGAGACGTATATCCCCTCTCTGCGTCCGCCCCCGCGCCCTACCCACCCCATTTTAATGTTTCTGGAAGTGTGGAGGGGGGCGGTTGCTAAACACAGAGCCATGTTAGGACCATTTAAAAAGCAGTATACAAACGTGTTGACTGAAGTGCAGAATAGCGCGCAAGCTCTGACTATAGAAATAGAATTTAAAAAAAAAAAGAAATAGAATTTAGAAAATACATTCACCGTAAGCCATAGAATCTAAAATCACTTTTGTCCTCATATTTTAATAAATTAGAAATATCTGAAGACTTACATTTGTAAAAATGTTTTGACGTCTAGGAAATCTCTGATAACTGATGGTATGTCACACTTCAACTGGCAACTTTTTTTTTTCTTTCCTAGATTTATGGAAAATACCGATTCATCTTACTATTGTTGGTATCATGTATTATATGATATGTGGTAAGTAGCCAGAAATGGGTGCAATGTGGCTTAGAAGAAAAAGTTGCTGGAACTTCTTAGACCTTCATCATTCACATTCATCCCCCTTTGGTAACGGACAAACTGAACACTCTTTTCCAGCACTGTCCTCAGTTTTTTTTTAATGGAGGGAGTTCAATCCTTAATGTCAAAATAGAACTGATTTTTAAAATATTCTATTATTTACAGACTGTGATATTCAAGTAGTTGTTAAACACTTGGAGCTTTAGTTTATAGGAGATAATAATTTCTTTCTTGAAAAACTTATTGCCATAATCAAGGATAATGCATTTAAGGCACTTACTAACCGTGATTGTCTCTCATCTCCACCATCACTACCTTTCTCTAAATACCAGTGCAGCCCTTTATACAGACTGGATACTCAGTAAATGTTTGGGAAGTAAATGACCTGTGATTTTCTACCAAATGCTACCAATAAAGACAAGAAATTTAACAGTAAGTTATTAAAAAGATGTGAAGGGAAATCAAGCAATACAATGCTGTAAAGTTAGAAGAGCAGTTGGGACTAGACCTACAAATGAGAGAGTCAGCAACAAAGATGTGGTAGTTGAAGTCCTGGGCATGGATGAGATCCCTAAGAGAAAATATAGAGAGAAGGGAAGTGGGCTAAAGACAGAATATTGAGTAATTAGAAACAGGTAGAAGAGTAGTCTGCTTCAAAGACTGAGAGTGGTCAAGGTCAGAGTAGAGGTTTCTGACCCAGGGTTTCTCGCTATTGTCACTATTGATGTTTGAGGCCAGATCACTCAATGTGGGTGGACTCCTGTCTTGTGTTTTTGTAGGATGCTTAGCAGTATTTCACTCAATCCAGGCAAGTAGTGACCGCCCCAACTAACCCCAGTTGTGGTAATAAAAAATGTCTCACACACTGCCAAATGTCCCCTTGGGGGCAAAATCATCCCCTCAGAGGACCATTGGTCTATATCTAATCCTTCAAACTTGCTCCTTTCCTAGTCTGCTTCATCTCAGTGAATGTTGTGCCTTCTTCCCTGTTGTACAAGTCAAGCCTTCAGTCTCTATTTTTTGATATTTCAGAATATTTTGTTATTTCCCAAAGTAAATGAAGTAACATTTTTACAATCTTTTTATGTGGGTCTCTAAATATACAAGATTAAAGACTTTAAAAGTAAAGGTTGAAATTAAGTTGTTTTATACCTATAGTGTCAGTAAGTTAAGAGAAATGTGACCTAATCTTAGTAAAATGACAGGAAATAAAAATTATATCAAATGCAAGTGGGTTTGATTAAAGTAAACATTTGACTTGAGGTGAAAACAGTTCGAATTTAGAGCTGGTGCCATCAAAATGGACTGTTTATACTTCAGCTGGATTTATTTTTATCTTTGTGGTAAAATATACATAATATAAACTTTACCATATTAACCATTCTTAAGCATACAGTTCAGTAGTGTTAACTAATTCACAATGTTGTACAACCCTTCTCCAGAACTTTTTCAGACCCCTTAAACAACTTCCCCAGTTCTAAAACCCTTTACCAACCACTCTTGTACTCACAACTGGATATTTGTTTATATTTGCTTATTTATTTTTGTTATACTAGAATGTAAAAGTAAAGAATTTTACTTCTAGGTTTCAAAGTGATTTTCCCCTATCATCTTTCCAAGTTAAGCTTTTTTTTTTCAAAATTGATGAATTAGCTGTGCAAATCATGGAACCAGAAGAGGGCACTATTAGGTTGAAGGACTCTCAAACCACATTAAAGATGTGCTATGGCTAATTGTCTTTCATAATTTAAAGTGCACAAAGGATGACAATAGAAGGGAAAGGACATTCTCTTCAAAAAATGGTGCTGGGAAAACTAGATAGCCACATGCAAAGGAAGAAATTGAACCACTATCTTATTCCATACACAAAAATTAACTCAAATAGATTAACAACCTTAAAGAAAATGCAGAAACCATAAAACTCTTAGAAAAAAAGCATAAATGGTAAGTTCTTTGATCTCAGTCTTGGTGATTTTTCTTCTTTTTTAATCTGATTCCAAGAGAATGGCAACAAAAGCAAAAATAAACAATCAGGACTACATCACACTAAAAAACTTCCGCACAGCAAAGAAAATCATCAACAAAATGAGAAGACAATCTACTGAATGGGAGAAAATATTTGCAAGTCATATAACTGATAAGAGGGCTAATATCTAAAATACATAAATAACTTGTACAACTAAATAACAAAAAAAACAAAATACAATTACAAAATAGAGGATCTAAATAGACAATTCCAAGGAAGACATAAAGATCATCAAAGGTACATGAAAAGATGTTCAACATCACTAATCATCAGGGACATGCAAATCAACACCACAATGAGATATGTCCTCACACCTGTTAGAATGGCTGTTATCAAAAAGACAAAAAATAACAAGGTTCCTGAAAAAATTAAAACTACCAAATGGTCCAGCAATTTCACTGCTGAGTATTTATCAAAAACAAAAACACTACTTCAGAAAAATATATACACACTTTAGTTCAATGTAGCATTATTTACAACAGCCAAGATATGGAAAAAACCGAAGTGTCCATCAATGGTTGAATGGATAAAGATGTGGTATATAAATATATGCAACAGAATACTACTCAGTGATGAAAAAGCATGAAATCTTATTTATGATAGCATCTATGGATTTTGAGGATATGCTAAGTGAAATAAGTGAGACAGAATGACAAACACCATATGATTTCACTTATATGTGGAATCTAAAAAACAAAGCAAAGAAACAAGCAAAACAAAATGAAATTTATGCATACAAAAAACACATTGGTGATTGCCAAAGAGGACGGAATTGGAGTTGGGCAAAATGGGTGAAGGGTATCAAGAGGTAGAAACATGCAGTTATGAAGTACATAAGTCATAGGGCTATAATGTACAGAATGGTGATAATGGTCACTAATATTATACTGCAAATATGAAAGATGCTAAGAAAGTCTTAAAACTTCCTATCACGAGAAAATTTTTTTTTGTAATTTTGTATAGTGACAAATGGCAACTAAATTAATTGTAATAAACATTTCACAATGTAGGCAAATATTGAATCATTATTTTTGCACACCTGAAATAAATATAATACAGTATTTCAATTACACTTCAATATTTTTTAAAAAGCTGGCAACAGACCAAAACTGAACCCATCTCTGGGTGATAGTAATCCTTTTTTTTTTAGGTTTTTTTTTTTTTTTTCATTGAGAAGTTGGTTGACTGATTGTAATTTCTTTTGGAAATTAGCTTTTGTCTTAAGGGCAAGAATTTTTCTCTAACATGTACAAATATAAAGGACATCTCTGTTAATTATTTTCAAGTATTAATCTAAGGACAAGAACCAAATAATGTTTTGGAGAGAAACTACATGTGTGATTATTTGTTTTTTCTTTGGTTTTTAATATAATATTTCACTAGGAATTTATTTAGAATCCCGGGAAATACAAAGAAGAAATCAAAAAGATCTATTATGTCTCTGCCTAGATAACCTCTATAAATATTCAAAAGATTAAATAAATAAAAGAGATAAATAGTATGGGGTAAGAAAAAATGAATATTTCAGAAGATACCAAATGAAAAGTAAAAATCGCCTAAGTTGACCATTATAATCACTTTTTAATAATTACTTGGGGGAGAGGGGCAAACTATAGATATTTATGTGTTTGCACCCATATACACAAACATACATGCGTGTAAGATGAATGTACCTGCATATGTGTTTTTCTAATTCATTTTTATTGAAATATAGGTGATATATAACATTATAATGGTTTCAGGGGTACAACAATGATTCAACAGTTATCTACATTATTAAGTTCTCACTCCAATAAGTGTAGTTACCATATGTAAAGATACAGAGACCTTATGGAATTAATTAACTGTATTCCTTATGTCACATCCTTATGTAAATCCTCACCCCCTCTAGTGTGGTAACTATCTGTCAACATGGAAAGGTGTTACAGAATCATTGGCTATATTCTCCATGCTGTACTAGCTTCCCTGTGACCAACTTACATTGTGATTGTGAATTATTATACCCCTTTATCCCCTTTGCCATCCCTCATAGCTTGCGCTAAACCCTCCCCTTTGGTAACCACTAGTCGCTTCTCAGTGTCTATGAGTCTACTGCGGTTTGTTCCTTTGTTTTCCTTTGTTTTTATATTCCGCAAACAAGTGAAATCATATGGTACTTGTTTTTCTCCACCTGGCATATTTCACTGAGCATAACACCCTCGAGATCCATCCATGTTGTTGCAAATGGCGGGATTTATTTTATTTTTATGGCTGAATAATATTCCTTTGTGTATATTTACCACATCTTCTTTGCCCATTCATCTATTGATGGACACCTAGGTTGCTTCCATATCTTGGCTATTGCAAACAGTGTGGTGAAAAACATGGGTGTGCATATATCTTCTTGAATCAGGGATTTTGTTTCCTTTGGGTAAATTCCTAGACTTGGAATTACTGGATTGAATGGTATTTCTATTTTTAGTTTTTTGAGGAATCTCCAT